GGGCCCGAACTTCTTGATGGTGTAGAAGATGAAGAGCTGGCCCGTGGCCGACGTGAAGGACAGCGTGAGCACGTTGACGAGCGCGGCCTCGTTCGTCGCGAGGAACGCGAGGCTCTCGCCCATCTCGCCCGTCGCGAGGAGGTTGCAGGCCGTGAACGCGAGCGAGAAGAAGTTGACGCCGAACATCATGGCGTACTGGTCCACGTGGTAGGTCTTGTAGACGCGGTCCTGCCACTGCGACGTGAAGGAGTCGCAGAAGACGTAGACCGACAGGATCAGGACGCCGAGCACGGAGTCGCCCGCGCCGTCGCCGCCGCCCTTCTTCGCCTTCTCCGTGAGCATGAAGAGGGCCACGCCCAGCGTGATGCCGACGGCCTCGACGTACTCGATCCAGGGGTAGTTCTTCTTGTGGAAGAACTTGCCCACGAGCATGACGGGGATGACCTTGGACGACTTGAAGAGCGTCTGCGTCGGGAACGACACGTACTTGAGGCACTCGTACTGGGCCCAGGAGGACACGATGTTGGAGATGGAGCAGGGGCTGAACTGGTAGAAGGGCGCGCGCGGCGCGGGCTGCCGGAGCACGCGCGACTTGTACGTCATGAGCGCGCCAGCGACGACGAGCGCGAGCGCGCGGTTCGCGCAGACGAGGAAGACCGTGGACGGGAACATGCCCGTGTCGTAGCGCTGCGTCATGACCTTCTCCTGGATGAAGCCCCAGGTCACGTAGGACCCCTGGAGCCCGACGAAGCACGCGGCGAGCTTGAGGCCCTTGGCCCGGAACGACTCGGGCTCCTCGGCGAAGGACCCGGGCTTCTCCAGCAGCGCCTTGTCCGCCTACGGTCGCGACGGGGTGGGCGCGCGCGTCGCGTCGGCGGAATGATGATCGCGGCGCGGGCGCCGCGCCTCGAGGTCGGGCGCCGACGCGCTGCTCTGCAGCGCCGGGGACAGGGGCTGGCGGGCCGCGCCGCGATTCATGATCGTCGACGACGTCCCTACGCGCTCTCGCGGGGAAGCGGCGCACGACGGGCGCGCAACGCCTCGACCCGCCTGCGCGACCGCGACGACGACGCTGCCGCAGACCGCGACGACGCTGGCTGCGCGAGCTCGACTGCCACAAGCCGCGGCACGGACTCCGGCGGTCTCCGCCGTCCGCCCCCGGCGGAGGCCTCCCGGGACGCACTCGGCGTACGCGCTCGCACGCACCTCCGCGCGTCTCAAGACAAGTCCCCCCTACAGCTAAGCCGTGGGCCCGGAGCTTGTAATTACCAGACCTCCAACGCCGCGCGGATCGGCTTGTGGTCGCTCGTAAGTCACCGAGCCCACCTTTAGAGAGTCTGCAAGTTGACGACGTTCTTGAAGGGGGCTGAAACGGAGTCTGAAACGTACGCCCCGAGGCGGCTTCCCAGCCCCCCCCCCCCGTCCAAAACACACCTCCCTCACATGGCCCCGCGGCTCGGCGCGACGTAGCGCGGCCGGCGGCGCCGCGCCTCGAGTTCCGGGTCGTGGTCGACCTTGGCCGCGGGGACGCGCGTGAGCACGACGGACGACGGCGAGGCGAAGTAAACGTCGCCGCCGAAGGCCGCGGCGTCGGAGACGCGCGAGACCACGAGGCCCGTCGGGTCCTCGTAGGAGTCCAGCGGCGCGCCGTCGGCGAAGAGGACGAGGACGAAGCCGTGGCGCGCGGGGCTCGCGAGGCGCTCGAGGACCGCGTAGGGCGCCAGGGACACGAGGAGGCTCCGGACGCGCGGGTACGCGGCGAGCGCGTAGGCCGCGTGCCACCCGACGTGGGGCGCGGGGATCGCGAGCCAGTAGCAGGTCCGCGGCTCGCCCCCGGGCGTGGCGAGCCGCGGCCTGTGTGGAAATCAACCACTGGTTTGGGGGGTCCCCACCAAACTTCAGAACTCTCTATCTCAATCAAATCGAAGTCGATTCGGCTGATTTTTGGACGGATCGATTGCTCTCGTCGAGTTCTCGAAGCACAGCGAAAGAGTCTGGTCCAAATCGTTCGATTACGCGCACATTGAAGTCGGGTTGAAGATTTGATTTCCACACAGGCCGCGGCCGGAGCCGCGCGCCGAAGCCCGGGAGCCCCGCCGCGAAGGTGTCGACCGCGCCCGTCGCCTGCGCGCGGCACAACCGGTGAGCCGGGCCGGCCCAGCGCGACTGCGGACCTCTCGAGTGATTTTCGGACGCGTCGGTTCCTCTCGTCGCGATTCTACGGAGCGCGCTCCGTCGAATATGAAGTAGACGTCCGCGCGGCCCGTCGCGAGGTCGTAGCGGAGGATCTCGTCGCCGCAGACGACGAGCAGGCTCGCGTTGCCGTGGGCCACCGCGAGGCCCGTCGGCGCGCGGAGGCCCTCCGCGGCGGCGACGAGCGCTCCGCCCCGGAGCTCGAGGAGGCGGCCGCGCCTCGCGCGCCCAAAGTCCTCGTAGGCGTCGACGCGGCGGCCGTGCACCGTCGACGTCTCCGTGGCGAAGACGCGGCCGCACGGCGTCGCCTGTGTGGAAATCAACCCGCGAGCCGGGGCGTCCCGACCAAACTTCGAAACTCTCGAGCTCGGTCGAACCGAAGTTCGGACGATTGCTCTCATCGAGTTCTCCACGAAGAGCACAAGAAGCTGCGTCCAAGTCGATTGCTCTCGGCGAGTTCTCGCAGCACGGCGGAAGCGCGAGCGTCGAAACTGTCGAATACCCTCACGTTGAAATCGCGTCGAAGATCTGATTTCCGCGCGGGGCGCCGCGACGACGTCGTTGAGGTACGTCGCGGCGCCGAGGCGCGACAGCGACGGCGCGCGGCCGTGCGGCCGCGCGACGGCGAGGAGGCCCTTGTACGCGTCCGCGATCAAGAGCACGTCGTCGTCGTCGGCGTCGTCGTCGGTCGGGCCGCCGGCCTTAAAGACCGCGGACCGCGGCGCGAGGAAGAGCCCCAGGGGCCGGCCGCAGCGCCGCTGGGAGCCCGGCGTCCCGCAGTCGCGCGCGGCCTCGGCCGGGCTCTGCTCGCGGTCGACGGCGCCGCAGCGGGCGACGACGTCGACGACGACGCCGCGGTCGCCGTCGCGGACGACGCGGACGACGCGGCCGTCGCTCAGGCCCGCGAAGAGCGCCGACGCCGAGGGCGCCAGCGAGTCGACGCCGCCGAGCGGCAGCGTCTCCGCGAGCGACGCGTTCGAGAGCCGCGCGCGCCGCGGCGGCGCGAGGCGCCGCACGGGCGGCGCCGCCTCGGCCGCGAACTCGAGGGCCGCGAGCCGCGCGCGGACGAAGGCCGCGAGCAACGCCGCGACGGCGGCCAGCGCGCGCAGCGCCGGCGCGTGGGACATGAGCGGCGCGCCTGCGGCAGAGCTGGCAGCTGCCGGCTGCCGGCGACTTGGAGTGTCTGCGGAAAAGATGGCGCCGGGGCCGCCGGCGACGTGGAGTGCCTGCGGCAGAGCTGGCGCCGGGGCCGCCGGCTACGGCGAGGCACCCGACGACGGCTGCATCGCCCGGCCCGAGGGCGCGGCGCGCCGTCGACGGAGGGCTGCCACGAGCACCATCACTGTCGGGAGAGGCCGAAGAAAACTAACTTGCCGTTCAAGTTGAAGCTCATAAAATCGCCCAGCCACAGCGGCTTGCCACAGCGCTTTTGGCCCCGAGCGTGAAACGCGTCTCGTCGCTCTCCAACACAGCCGCTCCACCGCCGCCGTCGACGCCGTCGTCGCCGCCTCGCCGCGCAGCTTCCGCCGCGCCCGCGCCCGCCGAGGCCCGCGCCGACGCCATGTCCGGCGGCATGATGGACGCGAAGATCGACGGGACGCCCTTCGGCGTGCTCATGCAGCAGGCCGTGAAGCTCAAGACCCACGTCCACAAGGTCGACCGCGTCAAGTTCGACCGCTGGCCCAAGTTCTACCAGAACACGGCCTTCATCAAGGACGACCAGAAGGCCGAGCGCGCCATCGAGGACTTCGACGCGCGCATGGCCGTCGCCCAGCGCTACAAGGCCGCGGCCGACGCGCACCTGCGCGGGGGCGACCCCATGCAGGCGGGCATGCACTACGAGTGGGCCGCGGGCCTCTTCCGCTGGGCGACGACGCTCGACGACAACTGGCGGAAGAAGTCGCTCGACGACGAGGACATTTTGGAGGAGTCCTACGACGGCGACACGCCGGCGCGGCGCGAGGCCATCGACGCCTTCAAGCTCGCGTGCTACCTCAACATCGCGCGCGCCTACTTCAAGCAGCGCGAGTGGACGACGGCGCGGCAGGCGTGCGACTGGGCGCTGCGCCTCGACGGCTCGTCCGACAAGGCCCTCTTCCTCCGGGCGACGATCCTCGTCGAGCCCGTGTCCCACGGGTCCACGGAGCGCGACGACGCCATCGTCGACCTCGAGCAGGCTGAGACGCTCCTCGTCGCGGCGACGGCCGCCGCCGCGGCGCGCGACGACCTCGACGACGCGGCCTGCGAGCGGCTCATGGACGACCTCGGGAAGCGGAAGAAGCAGGTCCGGTCGCTCCTCGCGGAGCTGCGGCGCCTGCGCCAGCTCGGCAAGGCCCAGGACAAGGCCTACGGCGGCATGTTCGACCGCGGCGAGGTCTACGACGGCGACGAGACCGCGCGGCGCCGCCTCGCCGACGCCGAGGACGCCAAGGCGCTCCCCGACGACCACTCGAAGCCCCTCGCGCCCGGCGACGGCACCTTCTCGTCGACGCCGGGGCCCGAGGCCGAGCTCGCCGCGGCGGAGAAGGTGCTCGCGGACTACGAGCGGCGGGGCAAGAGCAAGGAAGCCGCGGAGCTCCGCAAGGGCCTCGGCGAGGCCAAGGCGAAGCTCCAGCAGGCGCGGTCCGAGGGCCCGCCGCCCATGGACTTCCGCAAGCCGACGAAGGCCATGCGGGACGACGCGAAGGCGCGCGGCATCGACCTCGACGACCCGGCCGTCGTCGACATGCTCGAGGAGCTCCAGCGCGAGCAGCGCGAGACCGCCACGCCCGAGGGCCGCGAGCGCCGCGACGTCCGCGAGGCGGCCAAGGCCAAGGCGTCGGCCATGAGCATGCGCGACCTCATCCGGTCCCTGAAGGCGCTCGGCGTGCCCCACGGCCACTGCGACACCAAGGGCGAGCTCAAGGACCTCTACGTCCTCGCCTGCGTCGACGTCGACGAGGCCAAGGCCGCCGCCGCCGCCGGCGCGCGCGCGCCGCGCGCGCCGCCCGCCGCGGAGGCCGTCAACTCGTGGAAGTTCACGTTCCTCTTCGCGACGCTCTTCCTCGCCTACCGCCTCTGGACGACGAACCTCCTCGGGCCCCTCCTCGGCGGCGCGGCGCCGGGCGACGCGCCCGCGGCGCCCCTCGGCGACCGCAACCCCTACCTCGACGCGGACGAGCCCGACTTCGCGGCCCGCGACTGGACCGACGAGTTTTGAGACTTCGGCGGCGACCCGGCGGCGGGGGCCCTCCTCTTTTTTTAAGACCACGAAGCGTCGGCCGAAGGAGCCCGCCGCCCGGGGTCGGCCTCCGGTTCGTCGAGCCTAGTAGAGTTTAGGCGTTCGTAAGGTTCAGGCCGCCTTGTGCCGTGAGAGCGCGATCTAGACAGAGAGTGAATCTGACTTGAGGCGCCTCAACGTCGGTCGTCGCAGATGCCGCACGCGTCCGTCGCGCGGCGCGCTCGCGGAGCGCGCGAGAGGGACGGACTCCGGAGCTTTCGGCGTTGAAATGCCGCGCACCTATGCATTAACTGTCGTAAGTACATCGAGAATTTATGCGTCGTTGAAGAGTGCGCCGGGGGATAGGACGGCTTTGTGATGGGCACAACTGCGAACGCTCTGCGATCTGTGGCACGCGCAACGCACGAGCTCGAGATCTCGAGTCACTCCTTCAAACCTCTCCTATCAACGTGAGCTAACCGCGTCCCAAAGCCTCCTCCCGCGCTCTCCTTCGTTGGCAAGTCCTCTGCCGACCCCTCAAACAAATCGCCCGCCCAAACTTCCCCCCCCGCTACGGAGCGCCTCGATTTGCGAGCGTCGACTCGAAGACCGGAATTACGACGACCCGAAACAAAAAGCGAACGACGCCCACCTTTCGCCCCCTCGCCTCCGCCATCCCTCTCATGGACCTCGCGCGTCCGACGCGCTCGCCGAGCCTTCGAACCCGCCGCGCGCGCGATCCCGACGCCGACAGCCGACCGCCGACAGGTTCGACCGACCGCCATGAACAAGATCCTCGTCGCCCTCGCGCTGCTCACGCCCTCGGCGTCGGCCATGTCCTGCGCCCTCGACACGTCCGTCGACGGCGCCACGACGGCCATCGGCTCCGGCTCCAAGATCCGCTTCGTCGGCCTCACGCCGTCGATCACGCGCCACCACACGTCCGGCGCCGACCAGGTCGTCGTCACGGGCGCCTCGTCGGCCTACACCGTCTCCACGGACGCCGACGGCACCATCGTCTACTCCAAGGCCGCCTGCGGCGACGACGACCACGACGACCACGACAACCACGACCACGGCGCCGACGGCGGCAACGTCGTCATGGACGAGTCCGACGGCGCGGCCTCCGCCGGCCCGTCGTGGCTCCGCGTCGCCGCCGCCGGCGCCGCGTGCTCCGTGCCCGGCGCCCCCGGCAAGGCCCTCGGCCTCGGCCTCCTCGCGGCCGGCGCGCGCGCGGCCGACATGTGCGACGAGGTCATCGAGGTCGAGATCCACACGTCCGACCACGACGAGTCCGCCGCCTCCGAGGCCGTGAACCCCTGCATCGACGCGGCCCTGGGCTACGCGCCCCTCCGCGACGACCTCGCGAACGTGCCCTGCGACGACGCGGGCGCCCAGTCCGCCACGGACGTCACCGTCGGCGCCGTCGGCGAGATGGACCCGGGCCTCGACCCCATCGAGGACTACAACGCCATGGGCATGTGCACGGTCAACATCCACTGGCACATCGGCGCGGAGCACCGCTCCGAGGGCGTCTACGACGAGACCTTCGACTTCGACCACCCGGCGCTCCACGACGACGACGCGCACCGCAAGCTCGCGTGGACCAACGGCAAGCAGCGCCCCAACGGCCGCCGCAAGCTCGCCGGCGGCCGCGTCGGCCACATGTGCAAGAACGCCAAGGACATGCACGACGCCAACGACCCCATGGTCGCCAACGAGTACGACTGGAAGTACTGCGAGGGCATGCACGTCGGCCTCACCTACGAGTTCCACTGGCCCCACTCGTCCCTCGGCGCCTGCCAGACCGAGTGGCAGTACCAGTACCACTTCCTCGACGGCGTGCTCTGCGGCGCGACGCAGGGCAACGTCGACATCGCGACGGCCTCCGCGCTCCTCTCCGACCGCACGCACGGCATCGGCGTCGAGGGCCAGGTCTACACCATCGTCAACAGCGACGACGGCGCCCACAAGCACGCGACGTGGTCGGCGCTCGACGGCTGGAACAAGGAGCTCGCGACGGACTACGCGTGGTACCAGGGCTCGACGACGGGCGACGCGGCGGACAACGAGATCTGCCGCGGCACGGGCGGCCTCGTCACCTGGCACCAGGACCGCCAGTGCCACCTCCTCGAGGCCTCGACCATGGACAACATCTGCCGCCAGATGCTCGTCATCTCCGCGGACGACATGTCGCCCGACGTCGCGCCCCACGGCGCCCGCGAGACCGTCAGCGCCTCGCTCTCGGACACGCCCTACACGCCCTGAGCGCGCGCCGACCACGCACACGGCCCGGCCCCGGACGCAGTCCGCGCGGCCCGCCGGCGCCGCCAAGCCCGCGCGCGCCCCATCCTCCATCCCCCTCGTGTCCATTTTCCCCAGCAGAAGGAGCTGAAGCCAGGCTGCTGCGCGAAATCGACGCGCGCCATAGACATCAACTATCGTAAAGTACATCGAGCTCGCCCTTGCAAGGGGCTAGGGTCGCGGTCGATTCCCCCAGCAAACTCCGGTTAATTCAGGGTTGGCGTCCTCGGCCCCGGCGCCTGGCCGGACGTGTCCCTCCGATGGCGGAGGAAATTACATTCCCAAGGTGCATCGAGCTCGAGGCGCCGCGCGCGGTCGCGCGGTCGACGGGGGGCGTTCGGCGTGCGTCGCGCGTCACTTCTTCGACAGGTCGTGGGTGCCGAAGACCGTGTTGAGCTGCTGGGACACGCGGACGAACGTCGTCCGCTTCGGGAGCTCCTTGAGCGTCGCCGCGCCGACGTAGGTGCACGTGGACCGGATCCCGCCGAGGAGGTCGAGCATGACGGCGTCCACGGGCCCCTTGGCCGGGACCTCGACGGCCTTGCCCTCGGAGGACCGGTACTCGGCGACGCCGCCCGCGTGCTTGTGCATGGCGACGCCGGAGGACATGCCGTAGAAGAGCTTGACGCGCGACCCGTCGGGCTTGACGAGCACTTCGCCGGCCGACTCGTCCGTGCCGCTGAAGAGGCCGCCCATCATGATGAGGTCCGCGCCGGCGCCGAAGGCCTTGGCCGCGTCGCCGGGGCAGGTCACGCCGCCGTCGGCGACGATGTGGCCGCCGAGGCCGTGGGCCGCGTCCGCGCACTCGACGATCGCGGAGACCTGCGGGTAGCCGACGCCCGTCTGCTTGCGCGTCGTGCACACGGAGCCCGGCCCGATGCCGACCTTGACGACGTCCGCGCCGTTGAGGATGAGCTCCTCGGTCATCTCGTTCGTCACCACGTTCCCGGCGATGAGCGTGTGGCTCGGCCAGCGCCGCCGGACGTCGCGGACGGCGTCGACGAAGGCCTCGCTGTAGCCGTTGGCGACGTCGATGCAGATCGTCGTGCAGCCCGGCACGGCGGCGAGGATCGCGTCGAGCTTCGCCGCGTCCCGGGCCGACGTGCCGCAGGACACGGCCGCGTGGGCGAGCGCGCCGGGGTGGTCGCGCGCGAAGCGCTCCCAGTCCTACGTGTAAGTCGATGGCAACATTATTTGATGCGAAGCTCAGAATTGCAGTTGAAAAACTCACCTCTACGGCGTAGTGCTTGTGGACCGCGACGAGGCACCCGTGCCGCGCGAGCGCGACGCACATGTCGAAGGTGCCGACGGTGTCCATGTTCGCGACGACGACGGGCACGCACGCCAGCGACCGGCCGCTGTGCTTGAACTTGAGCTCGCGCTCGAGCGTGACCTCGGACCGGCTCCGGAGCGTCGACCGCTTCGGCCGGATGAGCACGTCCTTGAAGTCGAGCTTCACGTCCTCCTCGATGCGCAGGCAGCGCGGCCGGTCGCCGTAGCACGCGAAGCCGGCGACGGCCGCGAGCGCCGGCCGGGCGCCGAGGCGCAGCATCGCGATGCAGGCGCAGCAGCAGTAGCGGCGCCGCGGCAAGAACCTCGCTGCACTGCGACTGCAACTTGAGCCCGCACGCAGCACCTCCGGCCTACTTGCAGGCCCGTGTGCAGGCCTCCACATGAGCCAAGTCATGAGCCTTCGCGCCCGCTCCTCCCGTCTTGACATATCCCGCAATGACATATCCCGCCGGCGGGACAGGTCACTCTTTCCCCGGAAGCCGCGCCGTTAGGGGGGAGGGCGGCGGCGCCCCGGGTCACACACAGCCGGCGCGCCGCGGCCGGTCCTTCGCGGCGGGCCCTCACTTGCCCGGCTCGAGCATGGACGCGAGCGTCGCGGCCTCGGGCGACGCGGCCGCGTCGACGAAGTCCCGGGGCACCTGGCCCTGGTCGTTGGCGACGGCCGGGTTGCAGCCGGCCTTGAGGAGGATCGCGCAGCAGGGCGCGCGCTTCTCGACGTCCTTGTCGTAGCGGGACGCGAGCATGTGGAGCGGCGTCTGCCCTCCGAGCTGGTTGCGCGCGTCGAGGTTCACGCCCGGCGCGGCGACGAGGGCCTCGCAGGCCTTGAGGTTCGCCCAGAGCGCGGCGATGTGGAGCGGCGTCTGGCCCACGGCGTTGGCGAAGGCCGGGTCCGCGCCCGACGCGAGGATGCCGCGGATGGCGACGACGTCGTCGCGCTGCGCCGCGCCGAGGAGCGCGTTCTGCTGCCGCTCCATGACCTTGACGCGCTGGACGGCGTCGATCTTCGCGCGGTTCGCCGGCGCGTCGAGGCAGCCCGCGAAGGCCGCCTCGAGCGCTGCCTTGTCGAGGCGCTTCCCGATGAAGACGAGCTTGTTCGTCCGGGCCTCGCCGGGCGCCCACGCGCCCTCGAACTCGCCGTCGAAGATCATGTGCACGGCCTGGTAGACGAACTTCTCCGGCGCGCCGGCGATGGAGAGCACGCCCTTCATGCGGTAGATGTCCGCGCCCTTGTTCTGGAGCACGTCGGAGATCCAGTCGTTCACGAGGAGCATGTGGACGTCGCCGGGCGTCGTGATGGACACGCTCGACACGGAGTCGTCGTGCTCGTGCTCCGCGTCCGTGTCGAGGAACGCCGGGTCCATCTCCAGCGTCTTCGTCAGGTCGAAGGCGCCGATGCCGAGCACCTGGTCGACGGAGACGCGCGACCGCTCGGACCGGACGATCGGCGCGAACGCGTTGATGCCCCGGAGCCGCTGCTCGACGCGCGCGAGGTCGTCGTCCGTGACGAGGTCGACCTTGTTGACGATGAGGCGGTCCGCGAAGGCGACCTGCTCCACGGCCTCGTTCTCCGCGCCCTCGGGCTTCTCCTCGTCGAGGTGCTGCTCGACGTGCTTCGCGTCGACGAGCGTGATGATGCCGTCGAGGCGCGCGAACTTCTGGACGCTCTCCTCGACGAAGAAGGTCTGGGCCACGGGCGCCGGGTCCGCCATGCCCGTCGTCTCGATGACGATGCCGTCGAGCGCGAGCTCGCCCGCCGCGACGCGCTTCGCGAGCTTTTGGAGGACGACGACGAGGTCCTGGCGCACGGTGCAGCAGATGCAGCCGTTCATCATCTCGATGATCTCGTCCTCGGACTGCATCTTCGTGTTCGCCTTGAGGAGCTCGTCGTCGATGCCCACGGCGCCGAACTCGTTCTCGATGACGGCGATCTTCTTCCCGTGCGTCTGCGTCAGGATGTGGTTCAGCAGCGTCGTCTTCCCGCTCCCGAGGAAGCCCGTGAGCACGGACACGGGCACGCGGTCGTCGGGCGGGCTCACGGCGTCCATGGCCGCCATGAGTACAGACTCTTCGCACGGGCTTCGGCGAGATGGAGGGCTCGAGCTTCGCGATTTGCGGTTTACAAGGATGACTTCACCATCGGGCCGTACGCGTCGCCGTCAACCCGCTCGCCCTCGGTCGCCGCGGGGGTCGCAGCGCGGGCGCCGGCGGCGATCTCGGCGGCCCCGGGGGCGCCCGGCGGCTCGTTAGCCGCGCGCGGCGCGCGCGGCTCCTAGGCGAGGGCCGAGAGGGCCGCCTGCCGCTCCTGGGCGATGGCGTAGGCCTTGGCGACGTCGCCGGAGCCGCGGCCCGCGGGCCGGGGCTTCGACGCGAAGGGGACGACGCTCGCCGTGTCGAGGATGTCGTACTGCGTGTCGCCGAAGTAGATGACCATCTTCTGCTTGGGCTGGTCCTTCTTCGACCCCGGCCGCGGCGGCGGCACGGCGTCGAGGAACTTGGTCGCCGCGGGGAGGCAGAGCTCCGCGGGCCACCAGGGGTGCGCGCCGGACTTGCCCCAGCAGACCACGCCCAGCTTCTGGACGCTGATCAGGTCCGCCTCCGGCGGCGGCGCGCGCGCCGCGGCGCCCTTGGACGAGCCGAGGAGCCGGTAGCGGTTCCGCGGGTTCGTGAGCTCGAGCCACTCGACGTGGCCGTCGTCGTACTCGACCTTGTGGCGGCCGTCGCGCTTCCGGTACGCGGCGACGGTGGCCGCGTACCAGGTCTTGTCCCCGGGGCCAGAAGACCTCGACGCGGTGGCGCACGAGCGCGACGGGGTCCCGGGGCGGCTCCGCGCCGCCGTCGCCCGCGGCCGCGGCGGCCGCGCCGCCGGCGCCGCCGGCGCCGGCGCCGGCCGCGGCCGCGAACGTCGCCGCGGCCGCGGCCTCGGCGCCCGCGCCGCGCGGCGCGGACTCGAGGAGGCCGAGCCACCGGTGCTCGAAGGCGCTCCGCAGGACCTGGGCCATGCGGTAGACGACGGCGTCCGCGCCGTTGGGCGACGACTCGCAGAACGCGGCCGCGTTGTCGCAGACGAGGCGCACGTCCGCCGCGAAGCCCGCGGCGCCCGCGGTCGCGTAGGACCCGTCGCCGAGCCGCGCGCCGATGGTGCCCAGGTCCATGGGGTTCGTCACGACGGCCGCGTAGGCGGGCACGCCGCGCACGGGCGCCGCGAAGGGCTCCGAGACGTCGAGGTGGCGGAGCCACGCGAGCGCCGCCTTGCACGGCGCCGCGCCGACGCGCGCCTCGCCGCCCGCGGCGCCGCCGCCGCCGGGCCCCAGGGCGCGCCAGGCGCCGGGCCGGCCCTCGTCGATCCACTGGAGCGCGAGGTCGCCGTCGAAGAGCACGAGGTGCTGCCTCCCCGCCGCGGCGACGACGGAGCACGCCTCGCCCCCGCAGGCGACGCGCGCGGGCAGGCGGCCGCGCACGTCGCGCGCCGCCGACGCCGGGGGGATCCGCCGAGGGGGGGCGCGGGCGCCTTCGCCGCCTTGCGCGGCGGCGCCGCCGCCGCGGCCGGCGCCGCGCGCTTCCGCTCGGGCGCGGCCGGCGCCGCGGCGGGCGGCGCGGCGGGCGGCGCGGCGGGCGCCGGGACCGCCGCGGGCGGCGGCGGCGCGGCGGGCGGCGGGACCGCGGCGGGCGGCGGGACCGCCGCGACCTCGGGCGCCGCGGCGGGCGGCGGGACCGCCGCGACCGCGGGCGCCGCGACCTCGGGCGCCGCGACCCCGGGCGCCGCGTCCGCGGGCGGCGCGTCCGCGGGCGGCGCGGGCGGCGCGGGCGGCGCGTCGACGGGCGCCGGCGCGGCGACGGGCGCCGGCGGCGCGGTCCCGTCGTTGCGGCTGTCCACGTAGTCCTGGAGCTGCGCGCAGACGCCGTCGCCTGCGGGGGGTCGCGGCGGTCTCGCGCGCGCGGCGGCCTCGCGCGCGCGCGGTGTCGTACCGATCTTGGCGAAGTCGACGGTGAACTCGTCGCCGATGACGATCTCGCGCGACGACCCGAAGATGATGTGCACGACGTCGTTGAGGCAGGGGGGCGGGAGCGCCGACACCGACGAGCTCAGGGCCTGGCGCGCCTCGAAGGACCAACTCGACATGGCGCCGTCGATGGGCGTCCGGCGGTGGGAGCGCGGTGCTCGGCGGTCGCGGCGCGCTGGGACGGCGCGCGGGGGGTCGCGTCCCGGGACGGGCGGATAAGCTTCGCGCAGGCACTCCCAGGCGACCTGGTTTTTTTTTGGGAGAGCCGAGTTCAAGGACCGAGCAATCCGAGCACCTTGAGTTTTTTTTTTGCCGCTGGAAGCTTTGCGCCACCCTGGTCGCCGGCCGCCTCGAGCGACGCTGCGCCATCCCGATTGCTGCGCCGGCGCTCGCGCGGCGCACGACGCGACGTAGAACACCAGCATGCCGCCTCTCATCGGCGTCAACTGCGCGCGCCTCGCGAATCCCGCGACGCTGGCGCGGGCCCTGGACCTCGGCCTCGCGGCCGTCGTCGACCTGCCGGGCCCCCACGCGCGCAGCGTCGGCGTCGTCGGCGACGTGCTCCGGTCGCGGCCCGGCGACGCGCCGCGGCTCGTCGCCAAGGTCGGCTACTGCGCCGCCGCGGACGCGCCGGCCGGCGCCGCGGCCGTCGACGGCGCCGTGTCGCACGGCCTCCACGACGCCGCCTGGACGGCGGCGCAGGTGGCGCGGACCGCCGAGGCGCTCGGGCGGCCCGTCGACGTCGCGCTGCTCCACAACCCCGAGGAGGTCGGCGACGGCGCGCGGCGCGGCGACGCCGTGGCCGCCGCGGCGGCCGCGATCCGCGCGGCGGGCGCGGCGCGGGCCGTCGGCGTGTCGTCGAACGACGTCGCGTGGCTCGCGACGCTCGACGACCTGGCCGTCGCGCGCGTGCCCGCGCACGCGCTCGACGCGCCGGCCGCGCGGGCCGCGCAGGCGGCCCTCGGCGCGCGGGCCGAGGTGCTTCGGCTTCGGGCCGTTCCGCGCGGCGACGGCGTCGTCGTTCCGGCGCCTCGCGTCGCCGCCGCCGGGCGCCTTCGACCCGGCGGACTACGTCGCGGCGTCGTCGCGGCTCGTGGACCACTTCACGCCCGGCGACGGCGCCGACGACGAGACGCGCGAGGGCTGCGCCTGGGTGACGCAGCTCGTGTCGGACCTCAACGGCTCGCTGCCCAAGTTCGAGGCCTTCGAGCAGTGGGAGCTCGAGATCACGACGCAGCTCGTGCCCATGCTCCACGCCAAGTTCGAGGAGCTCGACGAGGACTCGGCGGACCTGCTCATGGCCTTCTTCGCGGCCTACGGCGCGGCCGTGCGCGCGTCCGCCGACGCGGCGACGCGCGAGCTCGCGCGAGCCGCGCCGTCGCCCCTCGGCGACGGCGAGGCCCTCGAGGCCTGGGCCCTCCGCGACGTCGCGGCGCGGCCGGGCCTCGCCGCCGTCCTCGTGGCCCTCGAGGCGCCCGAGGACGCCGACGCGCTCGCCGCGCTCCTCGCGGGGCTCCCCTAACTTGAAAAAAAGGGCACGACGTCCTTCAACGCCAGCCCTACGCGACCGACGCCGGCGTTGCCGGCATCACGGGCTCTCCTACTCGGCGGCCCCGAGCGCCGCGCAGCGGCAGCACGCCGCATGGGGCTGCTTCAACGCCCGCCCGACTTGCGCCGTATCTCGCCGCGCGACGATGTTGCACCCAAAACCGCGGGGGCTGGGCTAGCCCGCGGGGCGTCCGGACGGGGGGCGCCGGCGGCGGCCGGCCATGGTCGACGGCGACGACGAGCACGTCGTGCCGTGGCGGGCGCTGCTCCACGGGTCGCCGACCCTCGACGAGGAGCCGGCGGCCGCCGGCGACGCGTCGGAGACGCCCGAGCGGCCGGCGCGGAGCCTCGGGTCCGTCGACGGCGACTGGCGCGAGGGCCGCCCGGGCGACGACGGCGACGACGCCGGGCCGCGGCGGCGCGTCGAGGGCGTCGCCTGCGTCGCGCCGGGGTCGCCGCCGCGGCGCGCGTCGCCGCCGCCGCGCCGCGGCGACGCGGCCGGCGACGCGGCCGGCGACGCGACGCGGTGGCGCGTCGAGGCGAACGCGCGCGTCGTCAGCGGCGCGTCCGTGCTGGCCTACGCGGCGCAGCTCCTGGAGCGCGAGGTCGCCGCGCCGACCTTCCCGAACGTCGACGCGGCCGTGCTCGCGCAGCTCGCCTCCGCGCTCGAATCCGCCGCGGCCGTCGGCGCCAAGGCCGCGGCCTTCCTGCCCGGCGGCGACCCGCGGCGCGGCGGCCTCGAGAAGCCGCGCGGGGGCAGCTTCCTGCCGCCCCTGGCGAAGCCCCCGGGCGGCGGCGGCGGCGGCCTCTACGGCGCGGGCGCCGCGGAGCCGCGCGCGGCCGGCGGCGGCGGCCGGCGCCGCGAGAGCGCGCGGCTGTCGCTGCTCGCCTACGAGGAGACGATGGGGGACCTGCGGAAGACGCGGGCGGCGGCGGCGGAGCGGCGCGCGGAGCGGTCCCTGTCCCTCGCGCGGCGCGCGTCCGTCGCCGTCGGCCGCGCGAGCGCGCGGGCCGCCGCGCCGCCGCGGCCCGCCCATTCGCCGCCGCGGCGGAGCGGGCGGACGGCGCCGCTGCTCGGGCCGCCGGGCGACGACGAGGCCGAGGAGACGAAGAAGGAGGACCGGGCGCCGCCCCCCCAGAAGAGCGCCGAGGAGCCGCGGCCGGCCGCCAGGGTCGCGCCCGCGCCCGCGGTCCGCGTGTCGCAGCAGCACGTGCTCGAGGCCGTCCGCGGCGACGCCGCGGGCCTGCCGAAGCAGGAGGCGGGCATCCGGAACACGAACCTCGCGGGGGACATGCAGGCGCTGCTCGCGGAGCGCGCGGCCGTGTCGTGGGGCGAGCGGCTCCGGCGGTTCCTCGGCGCGCAGCTCGCGCTCTGGATCCCGCTCTGCAACCTCTACGTGACCTGCATGCTGCCCGTCTACCTCTGCTTCGCCGTCGAGCGGTCGCTGGCCCTCGACGCCATCGACGTCGCGTCCAGGACAGCAAAAGAGAGCGAAATTCCCAACTTCAAAGGCTCATATCTCGGCCGTTTTCCACTCGTTTCGGCTGATTTTTGGACGAGCGATCATCTCTCGGAACGGCCTCGAAGCGTGGATGCTTTTTCCGGAACGCGCGCGCGCGGAACACTCACGTTGAAGCGACGTTGAATCTCTCTTGTGCTGCCCAGGTCGCGTCCGAGCTCTTCGCCGTGCTCGAGTTCGGTCTCCAGCGGAGCCGGCGGCTGCGCGTCGCGCTCCGCGTCGAGGACCCGGACCCGGCGCCGACGTCCGCGGCGGAGGCGCACCGGCGGCCGCCGAAGGACCGGGACCGGAGGCGGCCGAGGGAGCCCGCGTGGTCCGTGGCGCTCGACGTCGCGCCCGTCGCGCCCGTCTGGGCGTTGCGCGTCGCGGTCCGCGCGCGGCGCGGGTCGGCGCTGGCGCAGGTCGTGCGCGGGCTCCAGCTCCTGAAATTTTTGAAGCTCCTGGTCATCTGGCGCGAGGCCATGGGCGCGACGCAGGGCCCGGGCCTCGTGCACTTCGACTCCATATTGTTCCGCATCGCGCGGCTCGTGTCCGTCTTCTTCTTCGTGCTCCACTACCTCGCGTGCACCTACCACTACATCGGCCGCAAGTCGCGCCACCGGAACGGCGACGAGACCTGGAAGTACTACGCGCGCAACGGGTCGGACCGCGGCGTCGCGTTCCGCTGGGTCCAGTCGTTCTACGCGGTGCTGGCCGTGGGCCTCGGCAACAACCTGTCGCCGACGAACACGCTCCAGGCGCTCCACTCGTCCGTGACGCTCCTCGTCGGCATCTCCATGACGTCCATCGGCATCGGCGCGATCACGTCGCTGCTCGCGAACAAGGACGTCGTCCAGGCGCGGCGCCGCATGAAGCTCAAGCAGATCGAGTCCTACCTGAGCAAGCACGAGGTGCCCGACGAGCTGAGCCGGACCATCGGCGAGTACTACGAGTACATCTGGGCGTCCCAGATGCAGCTCGACGGCGAGCTCTTCGCGGATTTGACGGAGGTGCTCAAGCTCAAGCTCGCGCTCGCGATCAAGCGGCGCTTCATCATGGAGTGCCCCCTCTTCAAGGAGCTGGACGCCTGGGCCATCATCAACCTCGTGCGCAAGCTCGCCCACGAGGTCTTCGTCCCGGACCAGGTCGTCATGGCCGAGGGCGAGCTCGGCGACGCGATGTACTTCGTGATCCGCGGCCGGCTCCGCGTGACGGCCGTCGGCGTCCGCGTCGCGCTGCTCCACGACGGCGACCACTTCGGCGAGGCCTGCCTCATCTCGAGCAACGAGCCCCGGAGCGCCACCGTCGTCGCCGACACGTTCTGCGAGCTCTTCGTGCTCCACACGGCGGACTTCCAGGAGGGCCGCGACTTCGCGCAGCTCCAGCAGTCCATCGAGGCCGAGGCGCACCGCCGGGCCATCCACCGCGAGTGCGCCAAGAAGCTCCGGCGCTGCAAGTGGAAGATTCTAGCCATCATGTACTTCATCCGCCGCTACCAGGCCGCGCAGCGCGCCAAGGACGGGCCGAACAACGGCAAGCTCAAGAGCCGCGCGCAGGCCATCATCCACGCGAGCCGCCTCAAGCAGCTCACGGCCGCCGTGTCCTCCGCCGCCAACTCCGTCGTCCGCGGCTCGACCCAGGGGGCCCACGGCGACGGCGCGCCCAAGCCCGGCGGCCTCGGCCTCCAGCGGTCCAAGGTCCAGACGAACTTCGGCCCGCTGCCCCCGCCCGACGACGACGACGACGACGACGACGACGGCGGCGGCGGCGGCGAGGCGCCTAAGTCCTAGTGTGTGAAAATTAGCAGCCGCGGCTCAGGGGCACGGAGTACTTGTGGAGCATGTTGTTGTGGGCCTTGTCGCGCCACTCGGGCACGCGGAGGTGGGCCGGGAAGTCCGGGTGCCAGAAGTTCATGAGGAGCACGCAGCGCGGCGAGTCGCCGTCGTGGCGGACCTCGTGCTCCCAGGAGTCGTCGAAGACGATGGAGTCGCCCTCGACCCACTTGCGCCACTCGTCGCCGCAGCGGATCTTCACGTCGCCGTCCGGGACGACGACGCCGAAGTGGCACGTGAGCCGCGCGTTCGTCGATCCGCAGTGCGGCCGGAGCCGCGTGCCCGGCGCGAGCGTCGAGAAGAGCGTCTCGCCGCAGCCGCAGAGCGCCGCGCCCGTCGCCTCGGCGATGTCGTCGACGACGCGCGCCGTGCGCGGGAAGCGGCGGCACGTCTCCTCGTCGCGGTAGCCGCCCGCGTAGAAGACGTGCTCCTTCCACGACCCCGCGACGGTGAGCGTGCCGTCGTGCGCGAAGCCCGGCCGCGAGCCGACCTCGTGGCCCGGCGCGTCGGACTCGACGGCGGCCGCGTAGGAGCGGAAGCCCAGGTACTCGTCGCGGATGGCCTCGAAGTTGTCCCGCAGGAGCTTCGTGAACCAGTACGCGGCCGCGTCGTGCCACGGCTCCGACTTGAGCCCCGGGAACCAGTGCGGCGGCCGCTGCATCGCGTGCGACCAGAGCACGCCGTGGTCCACGGCCGCGGCGCCTAGAGCCCGCACCTTGGTCGCGTCGCCGGGGCCGCGCCGCTTCTCGAGCGTCTGGATCAGGTTCACGTACGACGCGCCGTGCTTCGGGTTCGCCTTGATGGCCCGCGCGTACGCGTCCGCGGCGACGTCGTCGAAGCCCGCGTCGATGGCGACGGTGCCGAGCTCGTACCAGGGCTCCGCGTCGCCGCGCGCCGCGTGCCTCGCCACGGCCGCCGCGAAGGGCACCGCGTCCGCGGCCTTGCCGGAGCCGCAGAGGAGGAGCACGAGGTTGTGCGCGACGTTGCGCCACGTGCCCGCGAGCTCCGCGCGCGCCGGCGCCGCGCGGTCCCGCAGGTCGACGGCGTCGGGGTAGAAGCAGAGCGCGTAGGCCAGCAGGTAGCGCTCCTCCGCGGCTAAAGCGCGGCCGAGCTGCGCGAGCGCCGCTCCGGCGACGAACTCGAGAGTCAGCGCGAGCGACGCGCCCACGAGGGCGACGCGCGGGTCGCCGCCGCCCCCGGGGCCGGACGGCGGGTAGCACGTCGCGAGCGCCTCGGAGGCGGCGTCGAGCGCGGCCTGGTGGCGGCCGTCGCGGAGCGCGACTTCCGCGGACCGCGTGAGCGCCTGGCAGCGGCCGACGGCCGCCGCGGGGAAGGCGGCCGCGCGCCGCTTCGCGGCCGCGCAGGCGGCGCCGAGGTCCCGCGGCGGCGGCCGCGCCGCGGGCTTCGGCGCCGCGGGCTTCGGCGCCGCCGCGGGCTTCGGCGCGGCCGCGGGCTTCGGCGCCGGCGGCGGCGGCGCCGCGGCGCGCGCGGGCCGCAGGCGCAGGTGCGGCGCGTCGCCGTCGACGATGTCGCCGATGAGCGTCGCGCCCTCGACGGCGTCGCCGCCGCGGCCGACGACCTCGAGGGCGCCGCAGGGCTTGCCGCTCTTCGCCGCGCGGCCCGCGAACGTCTTCACGAGCTTCGACGTCGGCAGGCCGAGCCACTTCTCCGGCAGCTCCAATTTCACGCTGAAGCCCGCCGCCGCGCCCTCGACGAGCGTCAGCTGCACCTTGACCATGGCTGCGATCGGCGGCGCTTCGGCCGGCGCCAATGCTTGCCACAGCTCGCCTAAGTCGACTTCACACAAAGTTCAAAATGCCCTTTTCAACATGCGATACAAATCCAGCGCTCGCAACAGCCCGGGGCTGCTCGACGGCGTCGTTGCTGGGCCCGGCGGTCCGGCCGCGCCGCGTCGACCGCCATGCCGCCGAAGAAGAAGAAGGACAAGAAGAAGAAGAAGAAGGGGGGCGAAGTCGAGAAGGAGCAGGAAGAGACGGAATATGACTCCATGGACCTCGAGATGCTCCAGGAAGTCGTCCGCGCCGCCGCGTCCCTTCGTGCCGCCCCCCCGCCTCGTCCGCCGGCGCCGCGCGCGTCGGCCCGAGCGAAACCGCCCGCCAGGTGCCCATGCTCAAGCAGCAGCTCGCCAAGTGCACGCTCGACCGCAACTACGTGCAACTCGAGCGCGACACGATCCAGATGTTCTACGACATCACCAAGGGCGAGGTCCAGGACATCGAGCGCCAGATCGCCGCCAAGGACCGCGAGATGGAGCTCATGGAGGACAACCACCGCGTCGAGGTCCGCGTCTACCTCCAGAAGGTGAAGCATTTGGAGTACGAGCACAACAACAACCTGCGGAACATCGCCGTCGAGGGCGAGCACTTCATGACGGAGGAGCACGAGAACCACGACAACCGCGCCTACGAGCTCAAGAAGACCAAAAAGTCGCTGAAGCTCGAGCTCGCGGAGCGCGAGTGGAGCAACGCGGAGGAGATCAAGCAGGTGAAGCAGCAGCACGCGAAGAATTTGTTGAAGATGCGCGAGGGCTTCGAGGGCCAGCTCGGCGAGCTCAGCGACCGCTGCGGCAAGCGCCTCGAGCAGCTCGCGGCGGACCTGGAGCTGCGGCGCAAGGTCCACGTCCACGAGATCGAGGAGCGGAAGAACCTCCACATCAACGACCTCATGCGGAACCACGAGAAGGCGCTCGGCCGCGCGGGAAATATTCAAAATGACTTCAATGTGCACGTATTCGCACGGTTTCGACATTCGTGCTTCACTGTCTCAAAAGAACTCGCCGAGAGACAACGATCCGTGCAAAAATCAGCCGAAGCGACTTCGATGCGACCGAGCTCGAGAGGTGTGACGTTTTTGCGGGACGCGTCCGTTCCACCGGTCGTTTCCGGCGCAGGCGTTCGGCCAGATGAAGTCCTACTACAACGACATCACCAACGACAACTTGAAATTGATCAAGTCCCTGAAGGACGAGGTCGCGGAGATGAAGAAGAAGGCCGTCGCGAACCAGAAGCTCATGCACGACATCAGCCAGGAGAACATGCGGCTCAAGGAGCCGCTGACCGTGGCCGTCGCGGAGGTCGCGGAGCTGCGGGCCCAGCTCAAGGACCGGCAGAAGGACCGGCTGTCGCTGCGCAACTCGCGCGCGCGGCTCCAGGTCTTGGAGCAGCAGCTCCGGGACCTGGTCGAGTCGCACGAGGCGCTGAAGCTGGGCTACGCGGCCGTCGAGAAGGCGCGCGACGAGCTCTACAACACCTTCGAGGCGTCCATCGGCCAGATCCAGCAGAAGTCGGACTTCGCCAACGTCATGCTCGAGCAGAAGCTCTCGACCATGCAGCACTCCGTGGAGAACGCGGCCGAGCAGGTCGCGCACGGGGCAGCAAAAGAGAGCGAAATTCCCAACTTCAAAGGCTCCTTTCTCGGCCGTTTTCCACTCGTTTCGGCTGATTTTTGGACGAGCGATCATCTCTTGGAACGGTCTCGAAGCGTGGGCGCTTTTTCCCGGAACGCGCGCGCGCGGAACACTCGAGTTGAAGCGACGTTGAATCACCCTTTTGCTGCCCAGGTCGCGCAGATCATCTCCGCCGCGGGACTCGACGCGGCGGAGATGGAGGGCGTCGGCGCGTCCCTCGAGAACACGCTCGCGGGCCGGAACCAGTCCATCCGCGACACGCGCTACGAGCTCATCCGCATGACCAAGGTCTACAACGACTCGCTCCGCACGTACACGCAGAAGCTCATCGAGCTCGGCATCCCCGCGAACGAGATCGACTCCATGGGCTTCTCCGCGATCCCGACGTCCGCGTCGTCGGGGCCCGCGGGCCTCGTCGTCAAGTAGGGCGCGTGTTTCGCTAAGGTGTTACCGGTCCGAGGCGTCGTTCATGTAGCGCAGCATCGCGCGGCGGCCCTCGTCGCGCGCGCGGTCCTCGGCGGTCTTGTCCACGCGCATCTTGATGCGCTTGCCGGAGATGGCGCTCCGCGGCGCGTCCTCGTCGGAGCTCGACGAGCCCTCGTCGTCGCTCCGCTTGCGCTTCTTCTTCTCCTTGGCCTTCTTCTTCTTCGCCTTCCGCTTCGCCTTCTTCTCGCGCTTCCGCTCCTTCTTCCGCCGCTTCCGCTCGCGCTTCGCCTCCTTCCGGCGCTTCGTCTCGCGGCCGACGCCGTCCGACGACGACGACGACGACGACGACGACGCGTCGGAGGCGCTGCGCTTGCGCGGGGAGGCGCTGCCGTCGCGCGGGGAGGCGCCGCGGTCGCGCGGCGCCGCGCCGTCGGCGCGTTCGGCGGCGACGGAGGACATCGCGGCGCGTCGGCGGCGCGCGACGCAGCGGACCACGCGGTGGTCGACAAGGCGCGCGGCGCGTAGCCGAGCTGCGTGCGACGCCGCAGGCCGCTCGGCAGCGCTCGGCGGCGGCGTCAACAAGTCGTAAACTTGTCTTCAACTTGCGTCATCAGGCAAACACTGCTCCGTGGCGTGTTTTGCTGCGGTAATATGGCTCCGTTGCGTGTTGTGCTGCGTTTTATAGAAGCCCTCGCGCTCCCGCGTCCGACGGCCCCGCGCCGCTGGTGGACGCGCCTCTGAGCGCCTGTTGCGCTTCGACTCACCTCGAATTAGGCCACCCTAGCCCCGGCCGGGGAACACGACGGCGTCGTATTTCTTCTGCCTGGCTTCGATGCGGCCGAGGGCCGCGAGGATCGCGGCCTGGTGCGCCTCGAGGTTGGCGACGCGGCGCTCGAACGCGTCCGCGGGCCCGCGCTCGGGCGTCGCCGCCGGGGGCGCGTCCGGCTCGCCGCCGCCGTCCGTCTCGTCGACCATCTTCTCCAGGAGCACGGCGACGACGACGTTGATGAGCACGACGGCCAGGAGCAGGTAGTAGGACACGAAGAACATGGCGGCGCCGAAGGGCGAGAAGGCCTGGATGAGGGGCCGGCCGATGGCCTCGGACCAGGAGTCGCCCGTGAGGATCTGGAAGAGCGTGAAGATGGCCTTGGCGAAGTTGCCGAAGTACTCGTGGCCGAACTCGTAGCCGCGCGCCGTGAAGTAGTCCGGGCAGCCCGGCCCGCCGTCCTCGCCGGCCTCGCGGCACCACTCGAAGGCGAGCTCGCCGTTATGGCCCGCGTTGCGGAAGAAGTCGACGGCGAGGATCGCGTAGATGCACATGACGATGAACATGATGAGGAACGCGTTGACGACGCCCGGGAGCGCGCGCGCGAGGCTCACGAGGATCTTCTTCAGCGACGCGACGCGCTTGAAGAGGCGGAAGACGCGCAGCGCGCGGATGCAGCGCAGCAGGCCCAGCGACGGTGGCAGCTCCACGGGCGACTCGAGGAGCCAGCAGATGACGACGGTGACGAAGTCGAAGACGTTCCAGCCGGAGCGCCAGAAGTCGCGGCACCAGTGCGCGTACATGTTGAAGCCGAGCTCCACCGTGAAGAAGACGTTGAAGACGTGCTCGACGGCGCGGAAGCGCGCGGCGTAGTACGCGCCGTCGCGGACGTGCTCCGAGCTCGACGGCCAGACCTGCTTCTCGACGATGTTCGTGACGAAGTTGCCTAGGATGAGGAACGCCACGGCGCCCTGCGTCGCCGGCGCGCCGTAGAGCCGCCGGCACCGGCCCTTGAGGGCCCAGAACCGGCCCGTGTAGTAGTCCGCGTCGCCCGCGATCGCCGCGGTCCGCGGCGTTGCCGGATCCATCTCGAGCTGCAGGGGGCTCACGACGGGGATCGCGCCGTTCGCCGCGGGAAGCGGGTTGGTCGTGAAGGTCTCCGGGCCGGCCATGGACTGGCGCTTCTTGCGCACCGCGTGGTGGGCGGCGGCCATCCGGGTGATCGGCATCCTGCGCGGTCGGGCAGCGTCCGGCCACGACCCGGCGAGCCTTCGAACCTCGAGGTGCAAAAGGTCGGCGACGTCGGGGAACGAGCGCAGGTCGGCTGTGGACCGACGGCACCTCGCGGTCGCTGCCTTCCCGCAGACGTCCCACGAGGGGGCAGCCCCGCCACTCCCTGGCCACTACTCGACGCGAAACCCAGCCCGGATGCCACGAAGAGTGAACTCAATGTGCAGTACAACATCGATCTCACTTGTGCTGATCACTGCTCGCGCCCGCCCGCGAGCGCGCTGCCGCGCCGCCTCGCCAAGTGTTCTCGACGCGCCGCGGCCCGCCGCGACGCCTCCGGCACGCTGGGGAACTTCTTCGCGAACCCCTACCTGGTCAAGGCCACCTGCGTCGTCGGCCCGGCGGCGCCGAAAGGCAAGGGCAAGGGCAAGGGCAAGGACCGGCCCTGCGCGGGCACGGTCACCTTCGAGCAGGACGGCGGCGCGGCCTGCGTCATCGAGTGGGACCTGACGGGCCTGTCGCCGGGGCTCCACGCGCTGGCGATCCACGAGCACGCGGTCTTCGACGCGGGCCTCGCGGGCGCCGGCGCACGCTACAACCCGCACAAGGCCAAGCTCGGCGGGCCCTACACCGTCGAGAAGCGCGTCGGCGACCTCGGCAACGTCCGCGCGAAGAGGGACGGCACGAGCGCGGGCCGCACGACGAACGCGCAGGTCTGCCTCTGGGGCGACTTCAACGTCGCGGGCCGGTCCGTCGTCGTCTACGCGGACGCCGACGACCTCGACGCGCCCCGCGAGGCGACGGCGCGCGTCGCCGGCGGCGAGATCGTCATGTGCGACAGGCGCGCGTAGCGCGGCGCGGGCCCCTTTTTGCGACGGCGGGCCCCGCGCGCGAGTTAACAGACCTATTTTGCTTACTACGTAGTACGGCGCTACCGGCGCTTTTCTCGGAACACCGGCGCGTGTTGAAGTAGCGGCCCGTACCCACCGTGCCCGTACCCTCGCTCGGTGCCGCCATGGGCGGTAAATATGCCCGCGGCGCGTCCTCGCGCGCACTTACTCGCGCTGCTGCGGCTGCGCGTGTTTGCAGGTGAAGTTAAAAATCTTGGGTGGTCTGCGCGGGCGCTCCGCGCGGCGCGACGACAGCTCGTTCGGCCGCGGGCTGCGAGGAGCTTCTTGATTGCAACTTTGGCCTCGTCGCGCCTCGACCTCTCGACCGCGGGCAGCCCTTCGAGGCCGAGGAGCGCCGCCCCCACCCGCGCACGATGATCGCCGCGGACCGCGCCGAGCTCGAGTCGCGGCTCAAGCAGCTGACGCTGCAGATCCGGGAGAAGGAGGTCACGGTCTTCACGGAGAATTTCGCCGTCCTGTCGACGCAGGCGGCCTTCCTCTGCGGCCTCGGCTTCTCGGGCCTGACCATGGTGCCGACCTGGTGCGTCGCGCGTCCCTCCGCCCCGACGCACCCGGCACCCGCAGGCAGCGGGACACGGCGCCGCCGACGGCCATGCTCCTCGTGTTCTACTCGCTCGCGTCGATCTCGATCGGCTTCAACATCCTCACGATGGCCATCAGCAGCTGGTGCATGATCTTCGGGCCGGGCCTGGCGATCCGCGGGCCCGACGGGTCCATGAGCCGCGCCGTCGCGGGCATGTACCAGGAGCGCAAGTGGGCCCTGCGCTTCTTCTGGCTCGGGATCGCGTTTATTATCCTCTCGGGCGTCGCGCTCGGCTGGGTCAAGTTCGACCCCTACATCTCCGTGACCATGACCGTCATCTTCCTCGGCTTCCTCTCCTTCATGGTCTACTACATGACGCGCGTGACGCGGCCCCCGGCCGCGTCCCCCCGCGGCGCCGCGACATCGCGCCGCGAGCCCCGCCGCGTCGCAGGCCCCGGTTCCGCTTCCCCAAGGAGCACTCGCGCAAGCCCAAGGCGTTCTACGTCGACGGCTACGACCCGGAGACGGGCAAGCTCGCGGGCGCGTCCGCGCGGACGCGCGGCGGCGGCGGCGGCGGCGGCGCGCCGCGGCCCGCGCCGCCGCCGGGCGACGGCGCGGCCGCGGAGCGCGAGGCGACGTCGAAGGCGCTCCGCGAGATCACCTGGCTCCTGCAGCAGGGGCTCATCACGCCCGAGGAGGCCGCGCAGCAGAAGGACGCGGCCATCCGCGCGCACACCGGCGGCGAACCCGCCGCGGCCGCCGCGCGGCCCCCGGAGCCGCCGAAGCGCGCGGCCTCGTCCTGGTTCGCCTCGTCGCGGCGCACGCGCGACGAGGTCAAGGCGGCCGGGCGGTAGGGGCGGGCGGGTAACCGACGGGTGGCGCCGCGGTCTCGTACGCGTCGACAGCGACTCGACGCCTCCACTGCAGCTTTGACGCGAATCCAAAATATTGCAAACTTCGCCGAGGCCTCGGCGCCGATGCGAGGCTAACTTGAGCCCTTTCAAAAGCCATGGACGCGCCGGACGCCATCGCCGCCCACGTGGCGCGGGCGGTCCAGGCGCAGCTCGACGCGCGCGGCGCGGAGCTCGCGGCCGTCACGGCGGCGAACCGGGCCTTCGTGGACGCCTGCGCGTCCGGCGCCGTCGACGACTGGCGAGCGGACCCGGCGAGCGCCTGGCTCGCGCCGCTCCTGCGCCCGGGCGCGCCCGCCCCGGCCTGGGTGGAAGCCGCGCCGGCGCCGCCGGCGGCGCGCTTCGGCCGCTTCGACGGCGGCGGCGGCGCGCCGCTCGAGGCCGGGTGGCGGCCGGACGGCCACAGCTTCGTGGGCCGCGAGGTCACGCGCGCGCACGGCGAGGCGCGCGCCGAGGCGCTGAGCGAGGGCGTCGTCGTCGCCTGGCTCCCGGCGACGGCGTCCGACCCCTTCCTCGACGGCGACGGCCAGCCCGCGCCGCTCTTCAAGGTGCTCTTCCGGGGCGGCGGCCTCGCGGGCGAGGAGGAGGACCTCGAGGAGGCGGAGGTCGAGGAGTGCCTGAGCGACCTGCCGGACGGCGACGGCGCCGACGACCCGGGCTGGCGGTCGCGGCCCTGGTGCCGGGTCCTCGCGAAGCCCGGCCCGCTCGCCAAGTTCGAGCCCGGCGCGGACCGCGGCGGCCTCGCGGAGCGGCGCCTCGACCGCGTGCCGGGCCTGCCGCCCTACATGGCCTTCACGGCCCTGAGCCGGTCCATGCGCGTCGACGACGACCCCGTGCTCCGCTTCACGCCCTACCTCGGCGAGAACGCGGACGCCGCCGACAGGGCAGGAAAAGAGAGCGAAATTCCCAACTTCAAAAGCTCCTATCTCGGCCGTTTTCCACTCGTTTCGGCTGATTTTTGGACGAGCGATCATCTCTTGGAACGGCCTCGAAGCGTGGATGCTTTTCCGGAACGCGCGCGCGCGGAACACTCACGTTGAAGCGAAGTTGAATATCTCTTTTCCTGCCCAGGCGGCCGACGTCGTCGACGGCTACGACATGGCCGGGCGGCAGCGCGAGCTCGACGCGGCGGGCGCGTGCCCGGCCTGGACGGCGCGCGAGGCCCGCGACGCCGCGGCGCTGCGGCGCGCCTGCCTCGCGGGCGCGGCGCCGACGGAGGGCGCGCTCGCGGCCGTCGTCGACGCGCTCTTCGACGTCGAGGAGCGGCGGCGGTCGCCCGGCGAGGCGCTCGAGGACGCCGCGCGGCTCCGGCGCGCGCGGCGCCGCGCGTCCAAGAAGCGCAGCGACGACGAGGACGCCCTCGTCGCCGCGGACCTCGCGCGCGAGGCCGCGGCGCGCAAAAACGCACTCCGCGCCGCGCTCCTCGAGCTCCGCGACGGCGCGGCGCCGCCGGCGCCGCCGGCCGCCGCGCCGAAGCTCAGCGACGCGGGCCACGCCCGCTACGAGGACGACGTCGACAGCACGCGGAAGCTCCTCTGCCGCCGCTGCTTCACGTTCGACTGCAACGTGCACGGCAACCTCGCGTTCGCCGAGGACGCGGCGCCGCGCGGGCCCGACGCCGGGCAGGAAACAAACATAGTCCACACGACTTCAATATGCATGCATTCGCACGGTTTCGACCTATTCTTTTCGGTTCGACGTTTTTGCTGGACGGGGCGTTCCACCGGTTGTTTCCCACGCAGGCCCGACGCCGGCGACGTCTTCCCCGCGCCGCGGCCCCTCGTCTGCGCGCCGGCGCCGCCCCTCTTCGCCGAGGCCGCGCGCGCGCTGCCCGTAGCGGCGCCGCCGCGGCCGTGGATCGCGCGCGACGACCGCCTCCTGCCCGCGCGCTCGCCGTCTTCGGCGGCTGCGCGTCGCGGACCGCCGCGGCGCTCGGCGTCGACGGCGAGGGCCTGCGCCGCGCGGCCGCGCGCGCGGGCCTCGCCGTCGCGGGCCGCGCGCCGGGGACCTGGTGCTGCGACCGCTGCGGGCCGCGCGCGCGGCCCGCGGACGACGACGCGTCGCTGCCGTCGACGGCGGGCCGCGGGTCGCCGACGTCGTCGTCGACGGCGGGCCGCGCGTCGCCCGGCGGCGTCGAGGAGGCGCCCGCGCCGTCGCCCGCGCCGAGCGGCCGCGCGTCGCCGACGCCCGGCGGCAAGAAGCGCAAGCGCGGCAAGTCCAAGGCCGCCGACGCGCTCAAGAAGGGCAAGTTCGCCGCGCCCCACCCCGAGCGGCGCTTCGTGTCCAAGGCCATCGAGACGGCCTTCGTCTTCTGCCGCCACGAGGGGCCCTGCACGTACGCGAACTGCGAGTGCGTGCGCAACGACACCTACTGCACGAAGTTCTGCGGCTGCGCCGTCAAGGCGGACCCGCCGCGGGACCTCGAGCCGGCGCCGGGCGCGCCCTGCGACCTCGACGACCACCGCGTCGCCGACTGGCTCAAGGCGCGCCGCGCGGGGCCCGCGCACTGCGCGGACGTCGGCGCGCCGCCGCCGCGGACCGTGACGCGGAGCGAGCTGCGCATCCGCCAGGCCTGCAGCAACCAGTTCCACGGCTGCGACTGCAAGCGCGGCGACTGCTCGACGCGCGCGTGCCCGTGCTTCGCCGCGGGCCGCGAGTGCGACCCGGACGCGTGCGGCGCGTGCGGCGCCGCGCGGCCCCGGGGCGACTGCTGCGACCCGGGCGACCTGCGCTACCGCCACGCGGGGCGGCGCACGCGCGGCGCCGACGCCGGCGGCGGCGGCCGCGGCGCGCCGCGGTGCCGGAACCGCGACCTCGCGCTCGGCCGCGCGTGCCGCGTCGCGCTCGCGCCGTCGGGCGTGCCCGGCGCCGGCTGGGGCCTCTTCGCGCCCGAGGGCGCCGCCAAGGGCGCGCTCATCACGGAGTACGTCGGCGAGCGCATCTCGCAGACCGAGGCGGAGCGCCGGGGCAAGATCCAGGACAAGGTCAACTGCTCCTACCTCTTCAACCTCGACGAGGACACGGTCGTCGACGCGCGGCGCTACGGCAACAAGGCGCGCTTCGCCAACCACGCGGACCACGGCAACTGCGCGACGCGCACCGTGCTCGTCGACGGCACGCACCGCATCGGCATCTACGCCAAGGCGGCCGTCGAGCCCCACGCGGAGCTCTTCTTCGACTACCGCTACACCGTCGAGGAGGAGACCGACGGCCAGCGCAAGGCCGCCGTCCTCGTCGACTGGATGGCCGACGGCGAGGGCAAGAAGGTCTCCAAGTCCACGGGCGCGCGGCTCCTCGAGCCCGGCGCGGCCGCCAAGCCGCCGGCGAAGAAGAAGCCCAAGAAGGGGCCGGGCCGGCCGCGGGCGTCGCTCTAAGCGTAGCCGAGTCTTAGGAGTAGCCGGTCTTAGGAGTAGCCGCGGCGCGACAGGCACGCGGCGACGATCGGCTCGAGCTCGGCCGGGACCTTGCCGTCGACGCACTTGTGGACGATGGACCGGCGGCGCTCGGCGAGGAGTCTCGCGGCGGCGTCCTTGGCGGCGTCCTTTTTGAAAAAGCCGCCGTGTCGCGCCATATCCACGAGCGCCGCGGTGCCGCGGGTCGTCGCGATCCGCAGCTCGATGTCGACGTCTCGCGCGAGGTTTTTGAGTGCCGCGGCGGCCTGGGTTTTGGCGCCGGCAGGACCGGATTCCTCCAGCGCGACGAGGGGTGGAATGCCTCCGGCCAGCGCGATGGCGACGCCGTTGTCTTTGTGACACGCGAGGCTCCGCAGCAAAGCCGCGGCGCGCTCTTTGGTGATATCGCCGCCGCTCCGCGCGAGATGGATTGCGGGCGGGAGGGCCCCGGCTATTTTAATCGCGATCTTTCTTTCATCGGAGTTTTTTGCGAGGTGCGCCAGCGTCGTCGCGGCATATTCCTTCTGGTATTCGCTCCCGCTTCGCATAAATTCGACGAAAAGCGCGATGCTGCCGTTTGGGCCGCCGGCCGCAGCGACCGCATCTTTGATGACACTGGGGCCTCTTGTGAGGTTAGCGAGCGCCCCTAGCGCATGATGCTTGGCGGCGCCTGTTCGGCCTGTTCGGATGATGTCGATAAGTATAGGTATGGCGCCAGCCGCTGCGATGACAATTATTTCCTCGCTGGGCTCTTGTAATGCGGCCAAAAAAGCCCAGAGCGCTCGCGCGGCTCTCCCCTTGGCCTCGTCGTCACCGTACGAGAGGGTCCGGACGTGGCCAGCGATAATCTTTGCGTCCATGATGCGCGTCTCTCTCTGCTGAGAGCCGTCAAAGACTTGTTGGTCAAAATGCATTGCAAAATGTCCACAAATTGTGGCACAATTTTTTTTGAGCGAGCGGACATCTAGCGGCTGCGGCGTCGCCACATTTGTTTTCATCTTCCTCAGGGCCGCGTATTTTTCGGCGGCGGCGACAACGCAGGCCTGAGCGATCACGACGTCGGCGTGGAAAGTAAAAAAGACATGGCTTCCCTCAAAGAGAAGATGAAGGCCATTCGCCTATCGGGCTTGAGCACTGCGGACCTCATTGAGCCCGGACCAGAGCTTGATGAGCGATACGAGCAGGCGCTCGCGCGGCTTGCCGAGGCGGAGCGGCTCAAGAAGGAGGCGGACCCGCGGCCGCGCGACGGCGACGCGCCGCCGGCGAAGCGGCCGAAGGCGGAGATCGATCTCGATCGTCCCGCGACCGCGGCGCCGCGGCCGACGTCGGCGCTCGCTCGTTGGGGCCGCCTCTTCTTCCTCCTCGAGCGGCGCGGCGACGCCCTGACCGCGCGCTGGCACGACGGCGCCGCGCGGCCTCCGGGTTCGGGCATGCGACGACTCTGGGCCGGCGAGCGGGAAGTCGGCATGCGCACGCACTTGAAACAACGGCCGCGCTCCGCGACCGTGGCGTTCGCCTACGACGCCGACGGGCCGCGCGGGCCGGAGCTGGAGAAACTCCGGGCCGCGTACCACTCGCGCGGCTCCGGCGCGTCGCTTCTCAAGAGCCACATGCAAAAGTGCCTGCGGCGCATGGACGCCGACCGGGCGACGCGGGGCGCGCACGAGCTGTCGTTGATGTCGCCGGCGCAGCAGGGCGGCCTCGTGCAGGTCCTGCGGCGGCTGACCGTCGCGATCGCCGAGGACGCGCACCCGGCGCGCGGCCCCGCGGGGAGCCTCTACTGCCCCCTGGTCTGGTTCCTCTACGCCATCGAGGGCGGGAGCGGCGCGTACGCGCCGACGCGCGCGGACGTCGCGTGGATTCTCGGCGTGGTCGCGGCGACCGCGCGCTGCGAGCTCGGCCCGTCGAAGGTCGCCCTCAAGGACTCGGACGAGTACCTGCCGGAGGCGCCGTCGGCAGACGACGCGGCGTGGTCGCCCGCGCTCTCGTTCCTCCTCCGCGGCGCCGTCGGCGGCCTCGCCAAGGGGCCGGGCATCGACTGGGACGTCGACCTCTGCATGCTGCGCGCCGCGGCGCGCTTCTGTACGCTCGAGACGCTCGCGCTCGTCGAACACCGCCCGGTCGACCCCGCGACGCTCCCGCGGCTCCGGCCGGCCGACTGGTGCTTCGCCGGCCTCGACAAGCACGCCGCGAACGGCCGCATCTTCGGGATCATGCGCGAGCTGCGGCCGGACCTCTTCGATGGCGTCTCCGACGCCAAGCTCGACAAGTGGATGGCGTTCAACCGGGGGATCGCGACCGCGCGCCGCGGCGGCGGCGCCCTCCAGCTGCGCTTCGTCAGGGGCCCCCGGGACTGGCACGACTGCGCCGACGCGGCCGCGCGCAGGATGATCGACGCGGCCCTCGTCCGCGGGGTCCTCTAAAGGCAGAGAAGCTTAGGACCCGAGCGTGCCGAGGCAGCGGCCCGGCGCGGCGTCGGCGACCGCGTCCGCGGGCTTGCACCGCAGGCGGGGGAAGGCCGGGTTGATGGCGTGGAGGATGCGGTCGTAGGCGAAGCAGGCGGCGAAGTCCTTGGCGTAGGCGTTCTCCGCGAGCGAGAGGCTGCAGTTCGCGCCGTCGTAGGACGTGCTCGCGAGGACGACGGACGCGTTGAGCGCGGCGACGTAGCCGTTGAGCGCGGTCTCGGAGCCGTAGTCCTCGCCGCCGTGGCCCAGCACCGGGAGCGAGTAGGTGCCGTTGGCCGCCGCCCAGGCCTGGGCCATGAGGCCCGCGCCGTACTCGAGGCCCGGGAACCAGCCCCACGTGAGCGGCTCGAAGGACGTCATGGCCGCGAGCGACGACGCGGACAGGAGCGTCCCGTCAGAGGCGGTGCCAGAAGCGCGCCAAATCCTGCTCGTCGCCGCCACGTTGCCCGCGGTCCAGGCGTTGAGGCACGAGTCGCCGATGACGTCGAACCAGCCGTAGGTGCCGTTGCCGACGCGCGTCGCGTACTGGTGGACGACGCCGGGCACGTCCGCGCACGCGCCCCGGACGGGGAAGACGAGGCCCGGGCCCGGTTCGCCGCCGAAGGCGAGCGCGCCCTGGTCCAGGGCCCGCCAGTCGCTCAGGTTCACCGCCGTCGCCGCCGCGAGGCCCAGGAGCAGGTAGCCGACGGACGAGTAGACGCCGCAGGCGCCCGGCGCGCAGTGGAGGTCGTGGGGCGCGTCGCCGACGACCGCCGTCGGGACGTACTCCTCGCCCCGGAAGGTCTTGTTCTGGTAGCGGGCGTCGTCGTAGTCCTGGAGGCCGCCCCGCATCTTGAGCAGCTCGAGGATCGTGACGTTCGCCGCGCCGGCGCCGTAGAGCTCGACGAAGGTCCGGCCGAGGTCGCGCCGGAGCCAGGGGTCGACGTAGGGCGCGACGCGGTCGCCGAGACCGAGCGCGCTGCGCTCCGCGAGCCGCAGGACGCCCGCGGCCGTGAAGGGCTTCGTCGCCGAGCCGAGCGGGATGAGGTCCTCGCGCGCGAGCAGGCGGCCGGAGACGCGGTCCTCGACCCCGGCGACGGCCGTGTAGACGGCGCGCGGGCCGTGGAACGTGAGGCTGAAGGACGTGTTGTAGTAGTCGGCGAGGAAGTCGACGACGCCCTGGAGCTCGTTCTGGAAGTACTGGCCCCGCGTGCCCGGCGCCTCGCCCAGGGCGACGGCGACGTCGCCGCCGGCGGCGCGACCGAGCAGGAGGAGGCCGGCGACGACGCGCAGCATGGCTGGTGTCGTACTGGGCTGCCTGCGACGGGCAGCCTCGTCGCGCTCCGATATCGACGAATGAGAGCGTCGCTTCACTCGTATGGGCTGCCTGCGACGGATCCGGACGGCCTCGTCGCGACGCCGATATCGACGAATGGGCAGCCTCGGAGCTTCAATCTCCGTCCATCACGCTCGCGCTTCATCGTAGGCCTCAACGCACCGCTATATCGCCAATGATTGCCATAGGCCTTTCGACCTCGGCCCCTTTTGCGGAAACAAGGTGCCTGCGCGCGCCGCCTCCGTCCGCGCTCCCTCGATCGATGCATACAGTGCAGAACGATGCCGCGCGCGCGCGCGACGCCTGCGCGCGCGAAGAGACGCGGCGCGACGCGCTTCCCGCGCGCAGACAGCTACTATTGTACGCGTTGAACGCCGAGAGACGCCGCCATGTCGCGCCCCATGGAGGTCAAGCTCGTCGGCGGACTCCTCTGCTACACGCTCACGCGGACGATGATGGCCCGACAATTGCCGTCGGCCAAGTTCGGCGGCGAGAACGCCGACGGCTGGCTCGGCCCCTGGTTCAGCGACACGTGTCTGGGGATCCTGACGCCCTTCGCGATCTACGGCGCGTTCACGGGCAAGGGCGTCGTCGCCTGGGGCCTCCTCCTCTCCTTCAACGTCCTCGGGTCGTACGACTACGCGAACGGGCTCCTCGCGCAGTACCTGCATCCGCAGGTCACGTTTATGGGCGACCCGGCGGGCGCCGCCGGCCGCCGTGATCTACGGCTCCATCGGCCTGGGCTGCCTCCTCCAGATCATCAGCGTCATCCTCCTGCTCCAGGACGCATCGATCCAATTCTTCGTCAAGACGCGCGTGGACTAGACGCGCCGCGGCGCCGCGCGCCCTAATTCCGGCGAGTTCGGAGCGCGGTCCCCGTCGCCCCGGCGCTCGCCCCGCGGAGGCCTCGGGCCGGGGCGCCCGCCGCATCGAGCGTTCGGGCTCGTACTACCGGCGCGGATTTTGGCTACAAGCGCAATATGGATGCACGGAGCCGGCACGATCAGAGGGGGCCGACCACCAGGCATACACCAGCCACGGCATACACCAGCATAGCAGCCGCATAGCAGCCGCATAGCAGACGCATAGCGGGCGCATAGCAGACGCATAGCAGGCGCATAGCAGGCGCATAGCAGACGCATAGCAGGCGCATAGCAGGCGCATACCACCAGCATAGCAGCCGCATAAGACCAGCATAGCAGCCGCATACCACCAGCATAGCAGGCGCATAAGACCAGCATAGCAGCCCACCAGCATACCACCAGCGTAGCAGCCGCATACCACCAGCATAGCAGCCGCATACCACCGGCATAGCAGCCGCATACCACCGGCATAGCAGCCGCATACCACCGGCATAGCAGACGCATACCACCCGCATACCACCAGCATACCACCAGCATACCACCCGCATACCACCCGCATACCACCCGCATAAAGCCCGCATAAAGCCCGCATAAAGCCCGCATAAAGCCCGCATAGCGGGCGCATACTACCAGGCATACCGGCGGTCAACCCCCTCGGGGCACGATGCGTTTTCAATCAGCTGTGGCATCGAGGTGGCGAGCTCCGAGGGGGTAGCGGTGCTGTCGTGGTTGCAGCGGGACATCGAAGGAGCGCCTCTGCCGCCTCTGCGCGCCAGCTCGTCGATGTTCCGCGTCTGCGCGGCTGCCCTCGGCCGCGTGGCCGTGCGCCTCCCGAGCGGCGCCGAGGCGCTCGTCGAGGCCACCGGCCCGACGGGCGCGGCGACGCTGCGCGTCGAGAGCGCCGGCGCCGCGCCGGTCGTCGTCCGGTCGTCCTGGGACGAGTTCGGGTCTGTCGTGCGCGCCGACGACGGCGGCCTCGAGGTCGTGTCGCCGCAGCGGACGTCGCTGACGCTCGCGGCCGGCGGCGACGTGGCCATCGTCGGCAAGGTCGAGGGCGACGACGTGCGCGCGGCCGCGCGGGGCCGCCTGTCCGTCGGGACGGCGCGCGGCGCGCGCGTGGCGCTCGCCGCGGGCGCCGGCCTCGACGCGTCGCGCCTCGTCGAGGGCGTCGACGTCGACGTCGACGTCGACGGCGCCGTGGCCATCGCGAAGCTCCAGGCGACGCGCGCGGCCGTCGCCGCGCGCGGCGGCGCGGTGCACATCGCCGCGGCCTACTGCGCGGACCTGTCCGTGTCGAGCGACGCCGTCGACGCCGGCGCCGTGACGCTCGACACGGCCCACGGCCGCGTCGCCGCGGCGGCGCCGAACGGCGGCGTCGTGCTCCGGCGGTGCTCCGGCGCCGCGGTGGTCACCTGCGGCGGCGACGCGGATCTGGCCTTCGACGCGGTGAACGGCGACGTCGCGGCGAATTCCGCGCGCGGCGACGTCGCCGTCTCCGTCGCGACGGACGTCGCCGCGGACGTGGCGCTGTCGGCGCCGCGCGTCGACGCGTCCGGCGCGGAGAACTTCGAGGCCGCGGGCGCCGAGCCCGGCGCGCTCACCGGCGCGCTCGTCGCCGTCGCCAAGCCGTTGAGCCGCAAGGGCGCGGGCAAGGTCGACGCGGCGGGCGCGGCGACGCAGCGCTGGGACTCGGCCGTGACGACGGACGCGCGCCGGCCGACCATCGCCGCGACGGCCGCGGGGTGCGCGTCGCTCCGGACGCTGTCCTGGATCGACTCCATCCGGCGCCAGGTCGGGCTCCCGGAGGGGTTCGAGCAGAAGACGCGCCGCGCGCGCGGGCGGTCGTAAAATTTTAGGGCGGACGAACTTCCGGGGGGGGGGGTTAAGGTTGGACGGGTAGAGGCGCTCTCTCGCAGCCGATCGCCGCGAGGTCGAAGGCGTCCTCCGCGACCTCGTCCTGGTGCGCGACGATTTTGCGGCAGCGCCGCAGGTTTAACGCCTCGACGGGTCGAATGACGGCAGGGCGACGACCACGCCGGCGGAGCCCGCCCTCGGGCCGGCGTAGGCGCCGCCGACGAAGCGCCTGGCCTTGCTCGCGCCGACGTCGTCGAGCAGCGAGCAGCGCCGCGTCGACGACGTCGCCGTAGAGGCGGCTCAGCGTCGTCACGGCCTCGCTCCTCGGCACCGGGACGACGGCGCCGGCGGAGCCCGCCCTCGGGCCGGCGTAGGCGCCGCCGACGAAGCGCCGGCCCTTCTCCGCGACGACGCCGTGAGCCGG